TGGATCATCGCACAGTCAGCATTTTGTCTACCTATCGAGTCCTTACCCAGGACCTGGGATAGGCAGATGTGGAAGTTTGATGGTATTACAGATATCGTATTATTATTATTATTATTATTATTATTATTATTATTATTATTATTATTATTATTATTATTATTATTATTAACCGAGCCTGAATTTTGAGGTCCTTGGGACAAACCCCCCTATCTGCCATCCACCATTGGAGGAGAAGATAAAAAAAAAAAATGGGTGTCAGATGTTAACCAAGATAACAGCCAGGTGGGGTCCCATTATGGCCTGCTAAGACAGCTGTGCCAGTTTACTTAGCATCTTTAGGACCGTTGCAAGGTGAGGTGGCTTCAAATCGCTCAGGAACCACAAACCTGGAAAATTATTTCTCTCTTTATCGGCATGCCTTTCTCTTAAATTCTGAACGGAAGACCCGCCGTAAAGCAGAGGTCCCCAATTTTTGGGGCACCAGGGACCGGTTCCGTGGAGAGAGGTTTTTCCACAGACCGGAGGGGTGTGTGGTTTTGTGTGCTGCCTGCATCCTCTGGATGGGGCTTTGCTTGTTTGTGCAGATCGGTTGCTGGTACCGGTCCATGGACCGGGGGCTGGAGACCCCTGCCGTAAAGTACTTATTGGATCAACCCTCACTATACACAAAACCAGGGCTCTCCAATCTTGGCAACTTGAAGACTAGTGGACTTCAACTCCCAGAATCCCCCAGCCAGCATGGAATTCTGGGAGTTGAAGTCTACAAGTCTTAAAGTCGCCACGCTTGGAGAGCCCCCCCTGTCCTAAGCCATCAACCCAGGTTAGAGGAACATGCTGAATTTGCGTTAACACCACATCATATTATGGCTTAAGAAGGTGACCAGGTTCACGCCAGGTTCCACAACACACACAAATCCTGATTTTCAGTTAGTCTGATGCGCTCGGCAAATTTAGTCATTACGTGAAAAGCAGGAAAACATATTTTTTTTTGGCTTTTGCAATGCTTTGCTGCAGATTAGCCATCTCATTACTGGGGCGACGGGTGCCAACTTCTCAATTATTTTCAGCAGCATATTGATTTTTTTTTTTATTTGTGCTTGTTTGCACAGCCTGACCCCCCCTCTCTCTCCTCCATGCAGCCAATATTTTTTTTTAACGGAGGACAGTTTTAAAAAAAATCAAGTAAGACACAACCAAACGCACGTAGGTTTACAGTGTGTGTGTATATATATGTATAGGTATACGTATACGTGTATGTATGCATGTAGGTAAGTATGTACAGGTAGTCCTCGACTTACAACAGTTCATTTAGTGACCGTTCAAAGTTACAACGGCATTGAAAAAAGCGACTTACAGGCTTTCACACTTACGACCGTTGGCAGCATCCCCGCGGTCACGTGATCAAAATTCAGGCGCGTGGCAACTGGTTCATGTTTATGACGGTCGCAGTGTCCCGGGGACGTGTGATCCCCTTTTGTGACCACAGGAGTCTCTTCTTAAAAACTTCCAGTATTGGAGCATTCACCGCTTCTGGAGGCAGGTTGTTCCACTGATTAATTGTCCTCACTGCCAGGAAGTTTCTCCTTAGTTCCAGGTTGCTTCTCTCCTTGATCAGTTTCCATCCGTTGCTTCTTGTCCTGCCTTCAGGCGCTTTGGAGAATAGCTTGACTCCCTCTTCTTTGGGGCAGCCCCTGAGATACTGGAAGGCTGCTATCATGTCCCCCCTCGTCCTTCTCTTCATTAAACTAAACATACTCAATTCCAGCAACCGTTCCTTATATGTTTTGGCCTCCAGTCCCCTAGTCATCTTTGTTGCTCTTCTCTGTACTCTTTCTAGAGTCTCAACATGTTTTTATTGGATTTACATTCCACTTTTCTTCCAGGGAGAGGCAGTTTTGTCTAGTGGTTAAAGGCACCAGACTAGAAGCTGGGAGCCTAGTCCTGCCTCAACCAGGACCACCAGCTAGGTCAGTGGTTCTCAACCTTTTTAATGACGCGACCCCAACCGGTCGTAAGTCGAGGACTAAACCGGTCGTAAGTCAAGGACTAAACCGGTTGTAAGTCGAGGACTACCCAACCAGTCGTAAGTCGAGGACTTTCCCTGCCCGGGAGCACCGCGCATGCGTGGTTCCGCCCCCTGCGCCGGCCGAGGCGTAGCTGGCAAGCGGCAGAGACGGAGCAGGCCGACCACCAGCTGGCCCAGCCCAAGGGAGGTAACACACCCGCCGGAAAAGGGGAAAAAAATGGCGGACAAAAAAAATGGCGGACAAAAAAAATGGCCGACAGCCTTGCTTGGCGACCCCCATGAAATGGTCGATCGACCCCAAATGGGGTCCCGACTCACAGGTTGAGAACCACTGAGCTAGGTGCTTCTGTCCTTCCCTTTCAGGGAGAGTCAAGGGCAAATAGTTCTGGAAACGTTGGCAAGAAAACCATCTGGGATTCGTCCAAGCAATGGCTCGGAGTCAAGAATGACTTGCAGGCACGGGTGGCGTATAGCCACGCTGGACACGTGACCACGGAAAATGTCTTCGGACAACGCTGGTTCCTTTGGCCAACAAATGGATGGGGGAACCCTTTACCTAGCTAATTTCAGAGAAAACTCTGGCTTTTTTAGCGGGCGTTTTATTTATTTATTATTATTATTTTTTGCAATCGTTTGATGTCGCCGTCGGGAATTTTTTTTTCTTTCTTTCCGGGTTTAGGATCCGAATGTCACCGTGAGCTTCTTCTCTTGGAGAAGAAAGTAGTCTGTTTATTTCAACGTTCGTTCGTTGAAGAGTTTCAGACACGCAAAGAGGAATCGAGAGTGATGGACAGAAGGAGGGGGAGGAGAGGGAGGGAGGGAACAGGTCTCTCCTAGCAATTGGGAGTGATGGAGATAAGGGAGGGAAGGGTTTGCATGTTTGATAAGCTGTCCTCTGAAACAGGTCCAGCTCTCCAGAGTTTGAAAAGGACTGGCATATAGATGCTTCAACCGTCCTTTCTTGTCTAGTAAGCCAGCGGTGGTGTCAGAGAACAGAATAGCAGAGACCTTGGAGGTCATCTAGTCCAGCCCCCTGCTCAAGCAGGAGACCCGATACCATTTCAGGCAATTTCTGAATGGGATAAAACCAAGATAAGAGTCCAACGTGCCCATCGACTGATTTCTTGGAAAGCTATGAGGACTAACCCAGCCACAAATTTTACAGACTCCTTGAGAGGCGTACAAGATAAAGGGCAGTAGAAGCCATCAATATAGCGAATGGGATGAGCGGGGGATCAAATCATGTGGACTAGTGCTTCTCAACCTTGGCAACTTGGGTATGTCTAGTTTAATGAAGAGAAGGACGAGGGAGAAGGATGATAGCAGTGTTCCAGTATCTCAGGGGCTTCCCCAAAGAAGAGGGAGTCAAGCTATTCTCCAAAGTGCCTGAAGGCAGGATAAGAAGCAACAGATGGAAACTAACCAAGGAGAGAAGCAACCTAGAACTAAGGAGAAACTTCCTGACAGTTAGAACAATTAACCAGTGGAACAACCTGCCTCCAGAAGCGGTGAATGCTCCAACACTGGAAGTTTTTAAGAAGAGACTGGACAGCCATTTGTCTGAAATGGTATAGGTTTCCTGCCTGAGCAGGGGGTTGGACTAGATGACCTGCAAGAACCCTTCCAACTCATTCTATTCTATTCTATTCTATTCTATTCTATATTTCTATTCTATATATTCTATTCTATTCTATATTTCTATTCTATTCTATTCTATTCTATTCTATTCTATTCTATTCTATTCTATTCTATTCTATTCTATTCTATTCTATTCTATTCTATTCCATTCTATATTATTCTATTCTATTCTATTCTATTCTATTCTATTCTATTCTATTCTATATTTCTATTCTATATTTCTATTCTATCCTATCCTATCCTATCCTATCCTATCCTATCCTATCCTATCCTATCCTATCCTATCCTATCCTCCAAGAGCATCCCCACCAACACTGACCAAGCCAGCCAATAGAATATGACCTGAGACCGAACCTCGCTCCTTACCAGCACTGATGATGTTACCTAGTTGGGTAATGAAACGTCTGCAAGTAAAACAAGCAAGCTCAGAGAGCACCAAGGACCTCTCAAAATGACTACCTTAGGTTTAGACAGCCCTGGACTGGACCATCTGGACTCTTTGCCTTTGGGGATACCAGTTTCTTTCTTTCTGACCAGCTGTCTGAACTTATCAGTTGCAGAGAGGTTTATAATCAGATTAAGGGCCACATGTCCATCCCAGTTCTTGTGCAATCTTGATGAAAGGCAGGCTCGCTTGTGGTTTACCAGGCTAAAGAGAAATTGGTCTGCGGCTCTAAAATATTATAGCGATATACGATTTCATTTTTCTCGGAGCCCGTTATGGGTTTCAGCTTGGCTAAGATTCCTACTTTTTTTTTTCCAGGTTTCAGGATAGTTAACCCGCCTAAGTTTTTTGCTTAAAGAAAATTGTGAGATGTCAAATATGTTATAAAAGACTCAGAACCCTGCAGGAGTCACCAGCGAAATCTTGAAGCCGTCTCCATTTCAACAACGTATGTGGTTGTGTGTGGTCTTTGCTTTGACATGGTCTTTCTAACAGTTGTAATTCGTTTGTAACTTTTAATCATTCCAACTCCCCTCAAGTCAAATTGCTATTGGTAGCATCGATCCCATCCCATCAATTTTCAGTCTTGAAAAAGACAAATACAGTTGTCCTCAATTTACGACCGCAATTTGAGGGCAAAATTTCCACTACTAAGCGGGACAGTTGTTAATTCAGTTTTAATTCAGCTGCGACCGTCATAAATATGAGCCAGTTGCCAAGCATCTGAATTTTGATCACGTGACTACGGGGATTAAGTCATTCAGTGTGAAAAACAGTCCTAGGTCACTTTTTCCGGTGCCGTTGCAACTTTGAATGGCCACTAAACAAGTGGTTGTTAAGTCAAGGACTAATTGTATTTGAAAATAGTTTAATTAAAAAAAAATTACTTACAAGTTGTTCAGACTTGACGCCAAATAACTGGATGGTCTTCGCCACGTTTTTGGATACCGCAAAGCTGAGGTTTACGTCCACCGCTGCCACATTCAGCTCGCTAGAAAATAAAAGTATGTAACCAAATGCAAAAGGAGATTAAGAAATGAATAACGCAACCGTTGAAGAAATCTCCGTTCCAAAATTGTGATCAGAAAGGAAGAAGGGGAAGAGAAAAAAAATATATATCACATCGTACGTTGTGCACCGAGGTTTATTACAAAGGCTTACCTCGCAATGATTTTGATGATGCTGTCGAGTTCGTCGGCCGATGGGGGGTTGCGACCTCCCGGAGGAAATACGAGGTTGATGGGATCAAAGAGCCGCGACAGGGATTTTGACAGATAGGCAGCTTCGTAAGGTTGCAAGGAATTTTTTAGTGCTTTTTCCGGGCTAGAAAGAGGGAGCAATTGAACAAAGACAAAAATATTTATCTTCATTTTGCAATGAAGACTCCAATAGGATCTTTTCATCTTTTGCAGAGAATAGCAATAGCACTTAGACTTATACACCGCTTTGTAAGTGCTATACAGCCTTCTCTAAGCGGTTTGCAGAGGCAGCCTATGGCCCCCCAACGATCCGGGTCCTCAATTTTATCGACCTCGGAAGGATGGAAGGCCGAGTCAACCTTGTGAGCTGGTCAGGATCAAACTGCTGGCGGTGGGCAGAATTAGCCTGCAACACTGCATTCTAACCACTGCTCCGCCACAGCTTAGATAGCAATAGCACTTAGACTTATATACCGCTTCATAGTGCTTCAACAACACCCTCTGGGCGGTTAAAGAGTCAGCATATGCCCCCCCCAACAATTTGAAGGCTGAGTCAGCCTTGAGCCCCATCTGGATCGAACTGCTGACAGTCGGTAGTTTTAGAGCCTGCAATACTGCATTCTAACCACTGCGCCACCAGGTCTCAGCGATAATTTCCAGTGAGATTGTAAACAATCACACACTTGCTTTTTAATCTGAACTCTGCAAGGTGCATTATTTCTTATAAAGGCGTTGATCCACAGAGAAGTGTGCAGTGGGGTATAAATGGAATACAGAATAACAGAGCTGGAAGGGACCTTGGAGGTCTTCTAGTCCAACCCCCTGCTCAAGCAGGAGACCCTATACCATTCTGGACAGATGGTTGTCCGATCTCTCCTTGAAGACCTCCAATGATAGAGCACCCACAACTTCTGGAGGCAAGCTGTTCCACTAGTTAATTGTTCCCACTCTCCTTAATTCTAGGTTGCTTCTCTCCTCAATAAACTTCCACCCATAGTTTCTTGTCCTGCCCTCACATGCTTTGGAGAACTGGTTGATTCCTCTTCTCTGTGATAGCCCCTCAAATATTGGAAGACTGCTATCAGGTCACCCCTAGTCCTTCTCTTTGTTAGGCCAGACGTTCCCAGTTCCTGCAACTATTCATCGTACGTTTCAGCCTCCGGACCCTTAATCATCTTTGTTGCTCTCCTCTGTACCTCTTTTAGAGTATCAACATCTTTTTTTGTATCATGGTGACCAAAACTGGACACACTACTCCAAGTGTGGTCTTACCGGTGCTGTATATAATGGTACTAACACAATACTCCTGTATCAAACTGTATGCCTTGCTCAAATTAATAACTCAAAAACCCCAGTTAAGTGTATTCGTGTTCTACATCAAGACACACTGATCAAACCTAAATATTTCTCAACTTAAAATAAAATTTTCTAAACACACTAAGCATGCCCTTCCCCAAATATCTATGTTTTGATACTATCTTCCAGGGCAGAAATGTTGCCTTATGACAGTTTACTAAACTACAATATGAAAACTGATCGAGAATTTTGTGTTAAAAAAAAAACCCCAACCTTCTTAACAAACCAATCCCAACACACACTAATCTTCAATCTGCTTCTATTCAAACCAGTAAATTCTAATGACTCAATGGCAATAGATTCACTGCCTTTGTTAACAGCAAAGCCAATTTCTATTTATAAATATCACGCTGCGCTACAGAAAACAGCCTAATTTGTTGCAAGGAGTTTGAAGTCTGAAATGGTCTGTGGTCTAATTACAGACAGAAGTGCTCATACTCATAATCTTGTTTCTTCTGCATGAATATGTCCTGTTCATCGTCATCTATTTGTGGAAGTTCCGATAAGGGCTCGGGGCCGCCGTTCGTTATAACGTTTCTTTGAATATTTTCACTGTATTGTTGAAGACGCTTCCAGAAATCATTGTACAGCCTCAGTAATTTAGGATATTCGCCTTCGAAAGCTTGCTTCAAAAACATGGAAGCTGAAAGACGAAAAAAAAAAAAAAGACCACGCAGACATTACTTAAAGCAAGCCTTATCAGCTTGTGGGATGCTTAGAACTTCGGGGCTACAATATTTAAAATCAACAATACACAGGTCAAACCTACAAAACGACTCTGGATACAGCCATCTTTCTTCGTTTTTCGGGCGGAGGGAAAATACGTTCTTCTAGTTCAGTCATAACAATAACTTTCCTGTGGGAACCAAGGTCAAATTGCTCAAGTGTTTGACGGGCTAGAACTACCGTCAGAAATCCCGCCAAAGGTGTTAATTGGGGATTGTGATTTATGACACACCAAAGGGGTGGGAAGTTTAACTTTTACTTTGTAACCTTTGGGGGGGGGACTTCCAGTCTTGATTTCAGCTATGTTTGTGCTGATATTATGTAGCCATTAAAATTGTTCTCTGAGGAAAGCAATTGCGACTGGGTTTTACAAGTTTTCGCCAAACCTAGCATTGCTGATTTTCAGCAAAACTGACCCATAGTGAATCATGGCTTCACTTGACAACAGCAATTGTATAGAATGGACTGGAACCGAACAGAACAGAATAGAATGGAATGGAATAAAATAGAATAAACAATAGAATGGAATGGAATGGAACGGAACAGAACACAACAGAACAAAGAATGGAACGAAATGGAATGGAATAGAGAATGGAATGGAACGGAATGGAACAGAACAGAACAGAACAGAATAGAGGAATGAAGAATAGAATGGAATAGAATATAGAATATAGAATATAGAATAGAATAGAATAGAATAGAATAGAATGGAATGGAATGGAATAGAATGGAATAGAATGGAATAGAATAGAATATAGAATATAGAGTAGAATAGAATAGAATAGAATAGAATAGAATAGAATAGAATAGAATAGAATAGAATAGAATATAGAATAGAATGGAATGGAATGGAATGGAATAGAATAGAATATAGAATATAGAGTAGAGTAGAATAGAATAGAATAGAATAGAATATAGAATAGAATGGAATGGAATGGAATAGAATATAGAATATAGAATAGAATAGAATAGAATAGAATAGAATAGAATAGAATAGAATAGAATATAGAATAGAATAGAATAGAATAGAATAGAATAGAATAGAATAGAATATAGAATATAGAATATAGAGTAGAGTAGAGTAGAGTAGAGTAGAATAGAATAGAATAGAATAGAATAGAATAGAATAGGGAATGGAATAGGGAATGGAATAGGGAATGGAGCAGAACAGAACAGAATACAAACTTTATTGTCATTTATATGTACACTAATCAGCATACATTCAAATGAAATTTCGCTGCATTCAGCTCTCAAAAAAATGCCATTATGCATGTACCTCCACCCCCACCCCCCACATATATGACACAGAGAAACATCACAGTCTAGTTCGAATGTATACATATACAGGGCGAGAAAAACGAATCTTGCGAATTTACCAGACGGATGGCATAGGGAACAAAGCTGTTGCAGAATCGGGTAGTCCTGCTGAAAATTGTTCGAAACCCCCTCCCAGAGGGGAGCAACAGAAGCAGACCCTGAAGTGGGCGTGCGGGGTCTCTAACAATGCTTCGAGCTCTAAGCACAGAGCGCTTATAAGCTCGTAACTCAAGGACTTTGTGGACTTCTAGAAAAGCAATTTCCACAACCCCGGACAAGCCTTCTGTAGAAATATTTTACTCTGGAGAAAATTCTGTGCCTTACCTTCACAGTGGCCATAAAAACCACAATATCCAGAGGAATTCCTGCTGTGACTTGTTATTCGCTTTTTATGTCCCTGTTCTAGTCTAATAAAACATATGAGTCACACTCTAGATGCCCTCATAACCCTACTTTTTTCTCTGCTTTATATTTTCAGTGTCAAGTGGCTTCTTTCTGCAATGAGATCCCAGGCTTGAAAAAGTGAAAGGTGATTTAATTGCTAGCATTAACAATCGGAAGCTTAGAGGAACAATACCTTGTCCTGGTTATTCTTACCGCTAGATGAGGTAAGTTACGCAAGAGATCTGTTCTCATCCGATTCAATTCAAAAATGCCCCAGAAAATATATATATATATATATTTATTTCGCCACTGAGTGATTTCTTTAGACATTCGTCGCTTCCTCAATAATATCCAGAAGTACATACAGTATTTTGAATGGATGTAGCTAATTTGTTAAATTCTACAGGTTTGTTTTGATAATTTTGCAATATCTATCTATCTATCTATCTATCTATCTATCTATCTATCTATCTATCTATCTATCTATCTATCTATCTATCTATCTATCTACCTACCTACCTACCTACCTACCTATATCTCTATCTCTCTACCTACCTACCTACTTATATCTCTTTCTACCTACATCTATCTATCTATCTATCTATCTATCTATCTATCTATCTATCTATCTATCTATCTATCTATCTATCTATCTATCTATCTATCTATCTATCTATACCTATATCTCTATCTCTACCTACCTACCTACCTACCTACCTCTATCTCTCTACCTACCTACCTACCTACCTATCTCTCTATCTCTACCTACATACCTACATCTATCTATCTATCTATCTATCTATCTATCTATCTATCTATCTATCTATCTATCTATCTATCTATCTATCTATCTATCTATCTATCTATCACTTTAATCATCGGGAACATCAAGGACTGAACCAAATACTTTAGAAGTCGCAGCGTTAATCCACGACAGACTTTAGAGTAAGCAAAATATAAAAATGTAATGCATCTCACACAAAATATTCTTACAACAGGTACAGGAAGTTGCAAATAATAAACTAGCTTTGAAAATATTAGAGAGCCACATCCAATGCAGATACATTAATGCAAATTTTTTTGGTGGGGTCCTTGATGCTCTCTGAGCTTGGTGGTTTTCTTGCAGACGCTTCAGTGCTAGCACTGATGATGTTACCTAGTTGGGTCATGAAATGTCTGCAAGGAAACCACCAAGCTCAGAGAGCACCAGGGACCCCTCATTTCAACTCTGAGCTGCAAATATTCACTTCTATTGGCATTTTTTTTTCTTTTCTCTTATTTTTCTAATAACAGTCGCATTTGGGGAAGATGATTACTAATAAGTTGCAGCGCAAAATTGGCAGTTCCGTTTCTCTCAATCTTTCTCTCTCTACTCCTATTGCCATTTTCCTGTTAGTATTGTCCTTCTACTTTCCCCTTGTGTTGCATCTGCGTGTGTTTGTGTATACGTGTGTGCAATGTACAGCCTTGGCTGCATACTCTCTGCTCTGGATCATACGACTAGAGACGAGAAGAGCTTAGGATGGTGCAATCATCAGCTTTTTGATCCACTGCCCAACTGCCTCTCCTATAGAAATTACACAGATTTTTTTTAAAAAAACAATGTTTTTCTCTGCCTCAAGCCAGATGGGGCCTATTTAAAAAAAAATCTTTTTTTTCGTAGTTTCTTCCTCCAGAACCCATTTAGTCCCCTTCTGTTCAGTTTTCAGAGAATTATCCTGCTGAAGGACCGATGGACCGACAGAGAAACCGAGTCCCTTTATGTAATATTTTTTTTTCCAAATTTCCTTTTGGTTGGAAGGAATAAAAACGGGCATGGGAAGATTTATCCGGTTGTACTTCCGATTGAATTGCAGCTGGAACTGCCGGCGTTCCCTTTATAACCTACACTTAGGGAAGATATAATGTATTAAACAAGAACTGTGTGGAATTCTTTCAAACTGCATTACTGTTAAAGCTAATGTTCTGATCCTTTCCAACTCGGTAATAACCTGCAACTGCTAGACCACAACGTTTTATGTTCTGATTTAAAACAAGTGATAATTGAGTCTGCGAAATGCTTTTAAGGATGCCGTCTCCTTACAGGTAGTCCTTGACTTACAAGATTTCGTTCAAAGTTACAACGGTGCTGAAAACAGGGACTTATGACCATTTTCACACTTACGACCGTTGTAACATCCCCCACGGCCACCTGATCAAAATTTGGACGCTTGGCAACGGACTCGTATTTATGATGGTCGCAACGTCCCGGGGTCACGTGATCCCTCTTTTGCGACCTCTGACAAGCAAAGTCAATGGGGAAGCCAGACTCACAATAACTGTGTCACTAACTTAACAATTGCAGCGTTTGCTTCACAGCTGCGTCAAGAAAGTTCGCAAAATGGAGCAAAACCCGCTTAACAACTGCCTCGCTTAGCAACAGAAAGTTTGGGCTCAATTGTGGTCCTAAATCGAGGACAACCTGCACTCACTTAACAAAATACTAGTGGTCTGCTGGAAAGGCCGTCTTGATTGGAACATAAAAAAACACATAGTTCTCTTTCCTTTTGTTGTTGTTAGTTGCGAAGTCCTGTCCGACCCATCGCGACCCCATGGACGACGTTCCTCCAGGCCTTCCTGTCCTCTACAATCTTCTGGAGTCCATTGAAGCTCACGCCTACTGCTTCAGTGACTCCATCCAGCCCCCTCATTCTCTGTCGTCCCCTTCTTCTCTTGCCCTCCATCTTTCCCAGCATTAGGCTCTTCTCCAGTGAGTCCTTCCTTCTCATTAGGTGGCCAAAGGACTTGAGTTTCAACTTCAGTATCTGGCCTTCTCAAGAGCAGTCGGGGTTGATCTCCTCTAGGACTGACCGGTTGAATCGCCTTGCGGTCCAGGGGACTCGCAGGAGTTTTCTCCAGCACGAGAGTTCAAAGGCCTCCATTCTTTGGCGCTCAGCCTTTCTTATGGTCCAACTTTCACAGCCATACATTGCAACTGGGAAAACCATGGCCTTGACTATACGCACTTTTGTTGGCAGGGTGATGTCTCTGCTTTTTAGTATGCTGTCTAGATTTGCCATGGCTTTCCTCCCCAGGAACAAGCGTCTTTTAATTTCTTGGCTGCAATCCCCATCTGCGGTGATTTCTTTCCTTAGCTTTAATCAAATATTTAAACAAAGCCTTATTTCAGTTAAGCAGCATCTTCAAAGAGTGCAGGGATCTTGCGCTGAATAAGTCAAATTCTTTTAAGAAAAGTCAGCCTATATTAGCATTAGGAAGCTAAATGCACTCAGATTTCAACTTTGATTATGCCCAGAGAGTGTCTATGGAGAATTCTCCATTATCCAGGTCTCAAAAGTGCTTTTTCCAAAAAGCAACTGGATTTTCTCGGGGGTTTTTTTGTTTGCAAAAATGTTTCACTTCTCATCCAAGAGAGAAGACAACCACTTTCCTGTTTGTTGTATCATTCAGGTCAAAACACAGGAGTCCTCAACTTACAACAGTTTGTTTAGTGGCCGTTCAAAGTTACGACGGCACTGAAAAAAAGGACTCAGGATCGGTTTTTAATAATAATAATAATAATAATAAAAGTTGGAAGGGACCTTGGAGGTCATCTAGTCCAACCCCCTGCTCAGGCAGGAAACCCTATACCATTTCAGACAAATGGCTGTCCAGCCTCTTCTTACGACGATGGTCATGTGATCAACATCCAGACGCCTGGCAACTGACTCGTATTTACGACGGCGGCATTGTCCTGAGATTACGCGATCCCCTTTCTGCAACTTTGTGACAAAGTCAAGGGGGAAGTCAGATTTACTTAACAACCGTGTCACTAACTTAACACGAAACGTCGCAAAAGGGGTCAAAATTTACTTAACAACTGTCTCGCTTAGCGACAGAAATTTTGGACTCCATTATGGCCGTACGTAGGTGCAACAGAAGAGGACGGAGGCGAGGTTTATAAAGCTGGAGGAAATGTCATTATCGTACATGCTGAAATCAGTACTTACTCTCAGATGCTTTCTGAAATTCTGAAGCCAGAGTTTGAGTCACGGCTGTCCAGAAAGTGTACAAAATGTCTGAATGGCCATCCTAAAATGAAAGAAGACACGATTTGCAACAATCAAGATGCGCTCCAAATTTGGAAACATGGAAAAGCGACAGCAGCAAAAGGCCTAGTCTGCCCTTTGAGCTGATTTGTTTTTAGCTTTTTAAAATTAGTTTATTATTTTTTAATTATTATTTTACACAGGTAGTCCTTGACTTATAACCGGGGTCTTCAAACTTGGCCCTTTTATGACTGGTGGACTTCAACTCCCAGAATTCCTCAGCCAGGCACGCTGAGGGGAAAGGGAGAGGTTTCCAAGCTGAGACATGCTGGCTCAGGAATTCTGGGAGTTGAAGTCCCTGAGTCTTAAAGTTCCCAAGGTTGAGGCCCCTGATATAGGGCAGGGGTGGGGAACCTTGGCTCTTTTATGACTGGTGGACTTCAACTCCCAGAATTCCTCAGCCAGGCACGCTGGAGTTGAAGTCCACCAGTCATAAAAGGGCCAAGTTTGAAGACCCCTGGTGTGGATCCAAAGCCCGCAGTTTCATCAAAATGGCCGACTGAGGAATTCTGGGAGTTGAAGTCCACCAGTCATAAAAGGGCCAACTTTGAAGACCCCTGGTCTGGATCCAAGCCTGCAGTTTCATCAAAATGGCCAACTGAGGAATTCTGGGAGTTGAAGTCCACCAGTCATAAAAGGGCCAAGTTTGAAGACCCCTGGTCTGGATCCAAGCCTGCAGTTTCATCAAAATGGCCAACTGAGGAATTCTGGGAGTTGAAGTCCACCAGTCAATAAAGGGCCTAGTTTGGAGACCCCTGACTTACATTGATTTTACTGAGAGTACGTTATATTTGAGAGAGAAAAATGTTGCTTTTGCAGGGAATTTAAAAGGATCACCCAAATCTGTCACTGTCTAACTAAACCAAACCAGCCCTCTCTCAACCTGAATGGATGGAGAATACAGAAAGAGATTCTGGAGGATGCATGACCCCACTTAAAGTGTTGCGGCCAACATACATATTCCCCCCCCCCCGAGTTTTATACTTTCCCCCCTTCTACGCGTCACAGCAAATCTATTCCCCTTCCCTTCAGCGAGCACGAAAAGCAGATTTTTCCTGCCTTTGAAGAACAAAAGATATCAACACACCGAAAGCTGAAAGTCAAAAGGATATCGTTCTGAAAACTACGGTGTGTGTGTGTGTGCTTGTCTATATTTCTGCCGCACAACTTTTTCCCTACGGCTCTACATCCTAAAACAAAAACAAAAGCTAGATCCAAGATATTGAATGTTGTTACAGGTGCTCCTCGATTTACAACAGTTCATTTAGTGACCGTTCAAATTAACGACAGCATTGACAAATTGACATGACCGTTTTTCACACTTACGACCGTTCCAGTATTCCCTCAGGGTCACGTGATCAAAATTCAGAATGCTTGGCAACTGGCCTGTACTTATGACAGTTGTGGTGTCTCAGGTCACGTGATCCTTTTTTTGCGTGGTCAAAATTCAGTCGCTTGGCAACAGACTCATATCTATGACGGTCGCAGTGTCCTGTGATCCCCTTTTGTGACCTTCTGACAAGCAAAGTCAAGGGGGGGAAAGCCAGTTTCACTTAACAACCGTGTTACTGACTTTACAATTGAAGTGATTCACTTAACAACGGTGGCAAGAAAGCTCGTAAAATGGGGCAGAATTCAATTGCTGGAAATTTTGGGCTCAACTGTGGTTGTAAGTCAAGGATTGCCTGTATTTCATAAAACCTGGAATCCAGGAGAAAAACGAACCCAAATGAAGATACTGACATTAGAGGAGAGGAAGAGAGAGAAAAAATTCTAAGATGTTCTCCGAAATCTAGTAACAGGCAAATTGTATTACAAGATAACAGGCTTCTGTGGTAGAACTTGCAGACAGGATGAATAATGGGCTGCATCTGATTATTTTACTAGCTGAAGGACAATAATTTCAACCATTTTCCTATTCTTAAAAAGCAGGGTAGGAAAAAGATGCTTCACTCAGGTGTAGCAAACCGAACGAAACGTCTCCCGTAATAGAATTTTATTCTGTTAGATTTTAGAAAGACATATGTGTGCCCGTATATGTGTGCCCGGTCTATGTAACACCACATTTTACCTGGACAGAACCTACACAAGTAGACAGGGATAAGTACCTTTATAAGTAATTCAGTAAAGAAAGAAAATGAATGCTTTTAGAAAGACACATGTGTGCATGCGCGTGCGCGAGAGCCCATACATGTGTCTATGTAGCATGACATTTTAACCGGCACACTACCCACACAAGTAGCCAGGGATAAGTACTTTTATAAGTAATTAAGTAAAGAAAGAAAATAAATGCTTTTAGAAAGACATATGTGTGCATGCGCATGCATGCGAGCCCATACATGTACTGTATCTATGTAACACGACATTTTAACCGGCACACTACCCACACAAGTAGCCAGGGATAAGTACCTTTATAAGTAATTCAATAAAGAAATAAAATAAATGTACTCTTGCAGTCCTAGGCCATAACAACAAGAGACAACCTAAAAAGAATAAAACAAAATCACAATAAAACGCTATCAAGTAAAGGTGGCCCTTGACTTACAACCACAATTGACCCCCAAGTTTCTGTTGCAAAGTGAGACGTTTGGTGAGTGAGTTTTGCCCCATTTTCAGTAGGAAGTCTTCCATTTAAAAGAGTTTGTTTAGTGATCGTTCAAAGTTACAAGGGCACTGAAAAAGGGACTTATGACCGTTTTTCACACTTACGACCATTGCAGCATCCCCATGGTCATGTGACTTACATTTGGATGCTTGACAAGGGACTCACGTTTATGACGGTCCCGGGGTCGTGTGATCCCCTTTTGGGACCTTCTGACCAACAACATCAATGGGGAAGCCATTAACAAACATGACACTAATTTAACAACTGCAGTGAGTTACTTAACAACGGTCGTAAAATGGCACAAAACCTCACCTAACTGTTTCGCTTAACCACAGAATTTTTGGGCTCAATTGTGGTCATAAGTTGAGAACTACCTGTAGCACTTTGCTGAGGAGTTGTTTTTTTTAATTCTAAACATTCCAATAACATGAGTACATAAATTTGAACAAGGAAGAGAAATATTGGTATGAAAACCAGACCGAAATAGTCTCAGAATCTCGAAACATAAAACAAGAGCCACAAAAATTCAGCTGCTCCGTTGACTGCAAAGTCAGATTGAAGAAGAAAGGGAACCATCATATTGCTTGCAATAATAACATATTATCATCGTCCAACTTAATTAAAGTGACCTGCGTTGACCGTTATATTAAACAGTCCTCTTTTCTTCCGGACTGTGTGCCAGCGTGAAAATGAGACGGATAATTATCCAATAGCTTACGCTGCATCCAGAGTTTTAAACAGAGTCATTCATGAGAAAGATTGAGAATATGAAATTAAAACGATCTCCCGGGAGTGAAATATTAGATACGTCCATATTCCACAGTGCTATTTAGGCACAAAAATTGCAAACGCAATTATGTGTGACACGCGGATTCCCAATCGCTCTCTTAGAATATAGCCTCACCCCTCAAAAGAGACTGTTTTTTTCAAATTCTAACAGCTAAAAAAAATAAATACAAAAAAATAAAAAATAAGAATAACACTGGCTGTCAATTCTCTTTGAAATATACAGTTATACAGGGCGCAGTTATACAGGCATGCTTTGCAGGGTATCAAAACAATGCTCAAGATGAATTTCTAATCAAAAGTCTAACAGGCCTCTTTGAAGAAAGCTGGCTAAACAAACAGCCACGGAAATCTTCTTTAAATCTTTTCGGTAAGGATGGTGAATTGTAGAAGAATGAATAAATCTGCACTGCAACTCCTCGGGGGATTTTGCTAAAGAAGACCCATATGCTCTATTTCTATAGCAACACAATGGCTGAATGTTTTAGATCCTGAGCAAAAGCTATCCCAATAGTAAAAACCAAGATTAGGCACGTTCCTAAACTTTTTGAATGATCGTTGCTCCCACCTCCCCTATCGTTGCGTTATCTGTCTTATGTATTTTCAGGGTTGTATAGCAGAATTACAGATAGATAGATTAGATAGATAGATAGATAGATAGATAGATAGATAGATAGATAGATAGATAGATAGATAGATAGATAGATAGATACAGACAGACAGACAGACAGACAGACAGACAGACAGATATAGATATGGATATATAGATAGATATAGATAGAGAGATAGAGATATAGAGATAGATATGTATATATGTGTGTGTATGTATGTATATAGATATATATATGTAGATAGATAGATATAGATACATATATACTAGAGATAGAGAGAGATAGATAGATAGATAGATTATATAGATTGATTGTATATATATATATATATATATATATATATATATATATATAGAGAGAGAGAGAGAGAGAGAGAGAGATATGTATATATGTGTGTGTGTGTATGTATATAGATATATATATGTATATAGATATACATACATACAGATACAGATAGATAGATAGATAGATAGATAGATAGATAGATAGATGATAGATAGATAGATAGATAGATAGATAGATATAGATATACAGATTTTTTTAGCACCGTTGTAACTTTGAACGGTCAGTAAATGAACAAGTCGTAAGTTGAGGACTACCTATATTTTCATTCCCAGGGATGTGTGAAATTTAACTTGTGTAATGATGGCAGAAGAAAAACACGACTCTTTGGGACCCCTGACCAACGTGGAGGAAAAAATCCACACTTTTGTCACTCAGGAAAATGCTACGACTTATTTTACTCATCCTCTGACTGAGGTCAAGGAGTGAGGAGTGAATTTCCTGACATTGAAAAAAGGAGACACAGCTCACTTTGGAAGGTGCCTAAAATATTTCCTTGATTCTGATCTATGGTTCGCAATTCCGCTGTACCTTTCTCTTGTGGCGACAGAGACTAATGCAACAGAGGGAGTTATTTGCTAAAAATAAAAAAGACAGGCAGTCCTCAGGTTAAGAACATCCAGCTGAAGGACAGCTCCT